AACGTCGTATTAAAAGGCTTGCCTGTTTGCGAGTGGGTAAAGAGTAGAGTGCCAGATGTACGCCCTGTCGGATCAACCACGAATGGTACTGGCCGAGAGTGCCGTCGTAGCCAGCCTTGGCGACCGGTGCCATGCGGTCGGTCTCAGCCGAACGTCTGACGCCATCGATGAACCTGATGACGAATTGCAGAGCCCGGTGCAGGCGCAGTAGCGTCCTCGACCCGGACGGAAGGGTACCGTCGGCGCTGCGAGTGTAAATCGTTCTGTGCACAATGCCCTCCCTTACCTCGAAATTCAGCATCGAGTTGATCGTACAGTAGTTTTGCGACGAAGCGTCCCTTTCGATGTGCTCCAGCAGAATGTTCGTCTTTTCCGCGACATCGCTGGCCATGAACGAGAACAGACGACCGAGCGCCATGAAAAACCTGTGCACAAAACAAATGTCTGTCAGCGCACAACCAAACTAAACACTAGTCGACACCATCCAAAGCAGGTCAACGATTAACCGAAACATGCATCAAATATTTTAAGGTTTTTCTTCAAACTCGGTGTTTTTCTGATTCATAACAATGAAGTGATTACGACCACTGCTCAGCGATATTTAGAACTGCAGCTGCTAAACAGAGACTGTTCTGCGCATATTATATTATAACGGAAAAAAGGGGGGAAGAAGCAGTTTGTACTCGATGCGAAATTGGGGCCGACTGCTCTTACTGCCCTCGCCATCGGAGGCTAGCAAAGAAAGGAAAGCAGAGATGTCCACGCCTGGAATGTATGAACCAATGTGTCAGACGTTTTTCACTGCTGTAGCAAATGTCACGTTCCTTTCAAATTATATTTTTTCTTAAATGCATCTAGAGTGTGCTGGCGGTTCATCTCATAAGAACGTTTTGATCTACGTTCCATTATCTTTTCGGCTGCAATCTTAAAGCAAAGAAAATGATCGCATAATTCTAATGAGTTTTCTCTGGTCGGTGGTCATTAATACTTGTTCATTCGAGAACCGGTGCTGCAACCGAACCGTGAAAATACTTCGCTCACAGCGTTATTGGATTCTACCGAGAGAGGGCCATGACATTTCAGCAAAGCAGATGTAAGCATAACGTACACATACCATATATGAGAAACGTGAATATGATTGATTTAAAGATGTGACCTCTACCGCTGCTTTCATATTTTGACTGTACCTATGCGTCTCACAATTTTTATTTATGCAAATGGTATGGTATATCATATTAATAAAACAGTTTCCGCTTACTGCGTTTGCAAGAACTTACAATTCAATCATGTGAGCAGCTTAGCCAATATATGATTTGCTGCTTCCGCAAACCCTTACCATAAAGAAAAAGTCCATGCACCTGACATTTGTGAACGCTCTTATTGGCACGAAATACTCGACTACCGACTAACCGACAAGATCACTAATGCTGAATTACTCGTGGGTGCTAAAAAAAAAGCACCAACGGAATACATTGGCAAAGGATTAGTATCAACTTTCGCTCTGCTCAAATAAAGATGCTAAATTTCTCATTCTTCGGTCATGCAATACGACGGAACGATCAAGCGGTTGATCATCAGCATGACTGGCAATGTGTGCATGCTGGAAAAGACCGAGACACATGTAAAAAAATTTATGGTTGGATGGAATCATGGACGAAATGAATACAGCGGAAATATGCTGCACTAATCGACGCACTCCAGATCAAGCTTGGTACAAGGATTGGCTTACCAGAATATCAGACATTACACATGGCAGGAAGCAATGCCAAACCTGACAGGAAGCGCCGGGAAGTCGCAACCATTTGCAATATCGAATGAATCAAGTGAGTCAAGTTTAGACTGAACAGACATAAACATTCCAACGAAACATATGAATGCCATCAAGTTTTTATTATGATGAGTAAATGAACAGACAACTATGCTGGTGCAACTGTAATAGAACAATGCTGGAAAATGGCTGTTGCAAAACAGCAAAACGTAGGACAAAAAATCCGAAACCATATGGCTGAAAACAATCAGGAAAACGGTGACAACGGCGGACGTTATGCAGGACATAGGTCAAAAAGCGGAGACAAGAAAGCCGATACTGATGTCTGCAACATCGGATAAGTCAAATTTGATATGCTCAATGCTGTAATAACATTAAGATGGTGCAAAATATATGCCGACATGTATGTGTTGAATCATTTCGGCCTTGTTTGATTCCGGACAGTCATAATGCTTAAAGTAAACCTTTGTCCTGAAATTGATCCTTCCAACCTTCGAATCATAAAAAACTTCTACTGATTCATTATTCTCTGGGAATCAATGGACAAAAATTTCCAAATCATAGTCTGTTGGTTACATCGTACATTCTGCAGATAGGAAATGCCGATGAAGACAGGCAACAAGCGAAAGAAAATTTTAACCATCGACAGAAATATTGGTTATAGGATTATTAACTATTACGTCGAGCTTAAACGATCATACAGCTTTTCCAAGCACCTGCAAAACTCTAAAGACTGCAATCACCACTCCTCTCGCTGACTCATCTGCCTTTCCTTTCACTCCTCCTTCCTTATCACTACCACCTGCATGATTAGAAGAGAAAATGCAAATAAAGCCCTGAAGAAGTTGAACAGTTCAAGTATTTCAGTGCTGTCACTGAAATAAAAATACGAAAGGAAGTCTGTAACCGTTGAGTTTGTTTTCCGAACACTCATGATTTGTAACACTTTGTCACAGAACGTATTGTGCGGCGCTGATCAGCCATCAGTTTCATATTTTTCTAAAGCCAATATTTACAGCTTAGTAGCCCTGCTCCATATAGTCCGTTGCATTTTCCCATATATCAGCAGTTGTTTAGTGAGACAGATGATCCGCGCTTAAGCACTTAACGTATTATACAAGATATCTTCTGCGCTACGGTGATGGTCTTCGCTAGCGGAAGAATAAGTTTTCAAACCTAAGCCTGTCTATCAGATGCAATATAAAAATATGTGACAAAACTACGCGCACTCATCACCACCAAATTAAGTTGTCTGGATTTTATCAAAAAAAATGGAGTTTTAAACGGAACCTAATTCAGTTCTAATTTTGAACAATTCAATTATGTAAGTTATTAAATGAATAACTGAAGAAATTCTCAGAAATATTAAGCGACGGCATTAGATACAAACAGTAAAATTTCTTAAATATTTCTTAAACCTTTCTCACCAAACTTCGCACTCAAAAGTACAGCCTCAACCGTCGATTTCCTGGCAAAAAGAACGGTTTACTCTGCAACCATTTTATCCTGAACAAGCTTGCACTAACGCAGAAGATCGTGAAACATTATGAAAGCCGAGCGATTAAGCAGAATCCCTCTCTAAACAGTAGGACGCAGAGTGAAGTTGTAAGACGAGGCAGGGAAATTTAGAGTTAATGCTGAAGCGCCAAGTTCTCTACCCACGTCAGCCGATCCGCCTCACGTTCGTGCCCAAAGAACAGGCAGGCTAATCGGCCATCAGTCGATTATCAAACCCAACATCGATTTCCGTGCACAAGCATCACTATATCTGACAAACATTTCGATCTTCGAAGGTATTCCTATCAGACATTGTCCCATATCGCAACAACTTCATTCTCTTAATGCTGAGGTCGTATGAGCCGTTCTGTGCAATTACTTTTAGTGTCTGTTCCGACATGTGTCTGTTATGCGCATTGAAATCACCCATCAGAATGATGATTTCCACAGCTGACACTTCGTACAGAACATCTTTCTCCAGAAATGACTCATATTTTCCTTCCAAACTGGGTGCAGAGACCTGTAACATGGTCAAAGCTTTAGGCTCTTGTAACTTCAGTCAGAAGATTGCCAGTTTTTCATTTAGCTATTGTCAATCTCTACTAGAACAACAACATCGGCCTGAACAGGTGTCGGTGGGATTATACAGA